TAAGCGGAGCCGCTTCCATAGTCTTTTTTGGCTGTGAATTGTCTTTGCTGCCCGCGGAGCTCTGGCTGCGGCCTGCAGCCGCTGGGCACCCCGAGGCCTCGATGGGACGGGCGGCCCGGGTGTTTGCCTTGCGTACCTGACCCCCGAGGGCCGGGAGCTCTGCACTCTGAAGCGGCGCTTCGTGGCGGTGGCGTCCCGTCTTCTGGAGGCGCAGGAGCCGCGGGGTGGAAATGCTTCCTCTTCTTGAAGTAAGAGTTTGTAACCAAAGTCTGCTTCCCTCCGTGGTGAGTGCTGTAACCGCTAGCATCTGGAGCGGTGGGTGGCAGCTGGTGCCGAGTCCTTTGAAGCGATTTTTTTTGCCGAAAATGGCAAGTGGCCCACTGGGAAAAGGACCAAAATGTGCCCTTTCTCACCTTCTGCTTTTATACCACCACAAATATCCACACGTTAGGCGCTGCAATACTCAGCCTTCGGCCCACTTGAGTATTTTATTTCCACCGGAACTCTCATACTTACCAGGCTGATAATCAGTGTTCCAGTGGGATTTAGGCCTCTGAATATCGTTTATAGACTGGGAGATTAAACACCTGCCTAATTACAAAAACACTGCTTCTCGTGTGTCTGAATATTCCGGCACCAAAAATGTTTTTGAACAGTTGGCCATGAGCACCCTTCACTAGGCAGCGGTGCACTTCCAGCTCCTCTGAAATAGGGGACGTTCACCACGTGCCAGGATCAAGTCCTGACGTTCAGAGGTATGGCTGCCAAATCCGCAAGTGCTTAAATGCCTGTCACCCCAAGTGCTTGAAAGCTGTGCAAGACAAGAACAGAGCAACTCACTCAGCGGAGCTGCAAGCATCTCTGCAAATGTGATGGGCAAGCTCAGCAGGCCTTACAGTCAAATCTGCAACCGGGAGAAGGACTGGTCCAGTTATAAGACACTACATCTGAAAAAAATTCATTCTGAAAATAACAGCAGGATTCTTTGCTCCCTGTTGCCCTTCATGAGTTCGGTGTGAGGTGCAGAGCTCCAAATGGAAAGGTGTTCAACAGCTTAGAAGGCAAATGCATGCCACTTTTTGGTCGAAGTAGTCCCTCTACTTTTGGAGGGCAGTTTACCGGCGATGTTCGTCGAAGCTTCGGCAC